CATTCCACTCTACTCCGCTCTATCCTATCTTCCTATTCCTATTCCATTCCGTCAGGGAAGAGCCAGCGGCAGATGCCCGGGGACTCTGCGACCAGCCCAGTGAGGCCAATTCAAGGAACCCACTAGGAGGGGGAGGGGGAGTGGCTGGGGGAGTGGGGGCTGGGCTCCAGCGCTGCTCTGGCTGAGCCGGCCGCCTCCTGCCCTGGCGCCTCTCTTCCGAAGGTGTGGCAGCCACCTTGATCTGCCCTCCTTGGCCTTGGGGCTTTCGGGCGGGCAGCCTTGTGGCCGAGGGCTGCCCATCCACAGGGCCTTGGCACTGCCTGGGAGAAGCGGCTCCGGCTTCCAGGCTTGTAGGGAGGGGCCTGTGGGGCGTGCAGGGCGAGGGTCCTGCTTTTTCCCTTGCAAGAGGGCAGACTTGCGACACTGGCAGTGGGCGTCTGCAAGCAACGGTGCGGGGGGCAGGGGGAGGACAGAAGGCAACCCCCCTCCCTGGCTCGGTCTGTGCCAGAGACCCAGATCAGCCGGTTTCATCTGCTTTGGCAGCAGTGCCATTTCAAGAGTTTTATTGCACAGAAAGCTACAGAAAAGGCCCCCATTTGCCCCCCCCCAGCCCAAACTGACAGGAGGGGCTCCTCGTCTGCGGAATGGAGGGGCCCACAAAGCCCCCAGCCGGACTCCTCCGTGGGGGGGGGAGGGGTAGAGGCAAAGCCACACAGCTATAGGAAGCAGGTGTGAGGGGCTGTCCCGGAAGGAGGGCGGGGGCCGGGTGGAGATCCTGGAGCCAAAGGGATCGTTGCTCCTTCTCTGGCTGATGACAACAGCCCCGGGAGGCAGGCCAGCGGTTACGGGGCCTTCATTCCCCCGACCTGTGGAACTCATGGCTGAGTCTGCTCTGCCACTCGCCTCAGGCAGCACCCAGGCCCTGCTGGACTGCAACCGACGGAACCCCTCCCGAATGTTACACCCTCTCAGTCGAGCAATGGGGGGGCGGGGGGGGCGGAGATGCAGCATAGCCATGAAGGCCTTCAGAGCAGGGGTGGTCCCAGGGAAGAGGAGGGAGGGGGCCGGGAGGTGGGGCGGGGCCAGGAGACCCATGAAGCCCCCCCCTTCAACAGAGCTCCTCCCTCCCTCCCTCCCTCCCAGGGGTCTGGGCCCCCGAAACCTCCTCCCCAGGGAGGAAAGGCCGTGGGGCTCCTGGATGGGGGAGCCTCACTGCTCGGGGGGGGCCATGCTGCTGACCGTGGTGTAGCTGAACTTGGAGAAGGAGGCCCCAGTGGCGCTGGCCTCCTCCCCCTCCTCCTCGGGGGCACGACGTCGCCGGGGCCGGCAGGGCAGGGTGCAGCAGGCGAAGGTGGAGGCGAAGGCCTGGCGGAAACGCTTGTTCATGAAGCAGTAGACGAAGGGGTTGGTGCAGGTGGAGGAGTAGGAGAGCAGGTGGATGAAAGAGATGGGGGCCCCTGAGAGGGCGCAGTGGGTGGCCTGGGGGTCGAAGGCCCGCCAGGTGTTGACCACGTAGAGGGGCAGCCAGCAGCCAAAGAAGAGCGCCACGATCACCAGCAGCATCCGCACCACCCGTTTCTTGGCCAGCAGCTTGGCCTCCGAGCTGTTGACGCGGGCCCGCTCCCGCTGGGTCCCGTCCTCCGGGTTCAAGGCCGGCAGCTCCATCGGGCTCTCGGTGGGCCGGGGCAGCTGGGCGTAGCAGCCATCACCCTCATCGCAAGCGGCCAGGAGCTCTGCGGTGGCCCCGTTCTGCTGAGCTGAGGGAGGCAGAGACAGAGAGGGCCTTGTGGAGGATGCCCGGCCCCTCGGAGGCTGCGGGGGTTGCCTTAGCCCAGGGTGCCCGCTGGAAGGGCGGCAAGCAGAGCACCGGGGCTTCCTGACGTAGCAGTGCCCGCCACCCTCTTTCCCTGCCGGCAGTGCCCGCGATCCTGCCTGGGGCTGCCCTAGAAAAGGGGGCCAAGGGGGGATTGCTGAGGGGGGAGTGGAGGGGCAGAGCGGGGAGGCCCAGCTGGATGTCCCGGGACAAGGGGGAGCCCAGGGGGGTGTTTCCAGGGTGCACCCCAACGGAGCAGCAGCTCCCCCCCCTGCCTGCCTTATGGACTGTGATGCCCCCGTCTGTCTCTTGGTCCGAAGCTGTGGCTGCGCATCCGCCCTCCCCCCCTGCCCGGGGGCCCCCCCCCCCCCCCCCCTCCCCCCCCGCCGGGCCCGCCCCCGCCCCCCCCCCCCCCCCCCCCGGCCCCCCCGCAACCCCCGTCCTTCGCGGGCTGCTCTGAATGCTGCTCTCCACCACTGAGAGGCCACTTGCAACCTGCTGAGAGTCATTTTCACATTGCTGCCAAAACAAGGCTGGATTCTTATTTTATTCTTCATTTTCTGGGTTGAAGCCTGAATGCAAAGCTTTGCTTTTTGTCTCCTGAATTTTACCTCCTTGGTTTTGGGCCAGCATGCAGACCTGCCAAGACTGGCTGAAATATTTGGGCCCCCTGCGGCCTCGGGCTGGACGGGCGTCACCCTGTGGGGTTAGCTAAGCGGTTTCTAAAGGGGCGCAGCCGCGTGGGACCTGGGCCTGGGCTCCGCTGGGCAGCAATGCCGGCCCGGGGCAACTGCTATGGATCGCCCTCTCTCCCCCCGCCCTTGGTTTCGGCTTGCCTACAAGGCGGGGGGGGGGGCGCAGCGGAGAGCTGCGTTGAAATAAAGGTCGGTCACCCCTACTACTACAGCCCCAGGATCAGCTGTGCTAGCCCCTCTCCCCAGCCGAGTGGCACAATTCCTGCTCTTCGCCCAATAAAGTGGCCCAGCTTGCCAAACCGAACCGAACCAGAACCACAGAATTGGAAGAGGCCGGGGGGGGGTCTTCCGGTCCAGACCCCTGCTCAAGCAGGCCCCCCTCCCTCTGCCATTTGAGACGAGGTGGGGCTCTCTTCTTGAAAGCCTCCAGTGACGGAGCCCCCGCAGCTCCTGGAGGGAAGCCCCGCCCACCGGTTGAGCCCCCTCCCCGTCCGGAAGTTTCTTCTGAGTTCTGGGCTGCTTCCCTTCTTGGGGCGTTTCCATCTGTTGCTTCTTGTCGGCCTTTGGTTAACAGGCATTTATTTTTGAATTTCAGCAAAACTGCTCGCACAGGGAAGGCCCCGACTCACTTCATCATCCCTGCGGCCCTTTCGGACCCCACTGGCTGCCACGTTCGCTTGCACCCGGAAAAAAAGCCTCCCAGTTGGCCCCAGGGTGGCTGTGACGGGCAGGTCCCAGGGCAGCCCTGAGCCCCTTTCAGGAGGAAGGGCCCCTCGCCCAGGCCCTCGCTCTCTCACGGCACCCGGAGGGGACCCGTTCCCCCGATACCCACCTTTGGCCTCACGGGAGAGATCCACCTCAAACTGGATCCCCCTGCAGAGCTCGGAGGAGATCAGTCCGTAAGCCACGATCATGACCAGGCCCGGCACAAGGAAGAGGGTGATGAGCAGCAGCATGTACCTAGCAGGGAAGGGAGGGGAGAGCCACAGCAGCCCCTTAAGCCAGCGGGCAGCCCCCGCAGCCCCAAAGCAGCGGAGAAGGTGGCCCGCAGGGGGCGTTAGACAAGGCCTCAGCCTGGACTACAACCTCCGGGCTCAGCAAGCGGTGCCACAGGAACTGCCGGGCTGCCCCCCCCCAAAAGCCGGCCAAGCCCCCTCCCCGCTTTCTTCCTGCCCTTGAGGTCCTCCCGTCTCCCAGGCAAGGGCCAGCTGGCTGGCTGCCCGAGGGAGCCCTTCCCCAGGGCTGGAAGGGGTGGAGATGGAGCCCAGCCCAGCGAGGGCGTCTCCGGTGAGCCCAGCCTGCCCAAGAGCCCTCGGGCTTGTTGGAGAGGACGGTTCCAGTCCTGCTGCTGAGGCTGTTGGCCTCAGTCCGTTGCCTGCAAGTGCCCCTCGTCAGCCCGGAGGACGGATGGAAGGGCCTTCAAGGCCACCAGCTGAAGCCCCTCCCCCCCAAGGGCCTTGTGCCCAGAGGACAGCCAGGCCACGCCCGGCCCTGCCACCGGCCGCCTCCCTCTCCTCCTCTGAGAGAGCCACGCAAAGAGGCCGAGAGGACCGCATCTTGCACGGGAAGCCCTCCTTCCTAGCCCCCAGCCCCATTTCCCAGGGAATGGGAGTAGGAAGCCCTTGAGACCCTCAGGGTAGGTGCCCAGATCCTGCCCCCTGCCCCCTCCCTCTGGCCCCTGGGCTGTGCAGAGCTAAGGGGGCCCCCTGAGACCAACCCCCTCCCACCCGGGGCGATCTCATCTGGGCTCCCAGGTGTGTGTGTGGGGTGTTTCACCATCTGCCAACAGGTGCCAGCCGCGGCAGGGTTGGTGCAGGCCCATCAGCCGCCGAGGGCAGACCAAACGGCAGCAGAGGCGACCCAGCCCAAAGCAGAGGGGGTCCTTTACCTTCCCGGCACCAGGAGGAAGACAGGCAGCTTATGGCACCTGCCAACCTGTCTCGATCTGCATCATAAGCGACGCCTTGACTGAAGCGCTTCAGCCCCAACCATGGAGGGCAGCTGCCAGGGGCTGCCACGGCCCTCGCTGGCCCTAAACGGGGCTTGGCCGGAGACGAGAGCCTGGCGAAGGCCGGGCCTCCCCTGGCAGTTCTCCTCTGCGCCTGCCTGCTCGGCTGGTGGCCCCAATGCCAAGGTGGCCCCATGTGACGAGGCCCCCAGCCGCTGCCTCCAAATGGCAGCTGGGGCTCTGTGGGCCCCAGGGGGGCAGAGGGGCCCCGGGAGGAGCACGTGGAGCCCCCCCCCACTTACCAGGCCTGCCGGATGTGCTGCCCAGGCCAGTTGTGTCTGCACTCGGTGCGGTGGGGCTGCCTGCGCAGGGTCTGGGTGGTGCTGTAGACTGGGTAGGGCAGCATCAGCAGCACCGAGAGCACCCAGGTGGCGGCAATGACCCGGTAGGCATGGGAGCGGGTCTGCCACACGCGGGACTGCAAGGGCCTGCAGATGGCGCTGTAGCGCTCGATGGCGATGGCCACCAGGCTGAAGGTGGAGACGCTCACTGACACCGCTGGGGAGGAGAGGGAGGGGGGAGGGGCAGGCAGGTCAGGGGGCTCCAGCTGGGGCACCGGCTGCTCTTCCCCAGGGGAGGGGGAGGGGACCCAGGGACCCCCCCTCCCCTGCCCAGGCCGAACCCCCTCACCCATCAGGTAGGCCACTGCCTTGCAGACGGCCCTGCCGAAGACGAAGGTCTGCATCAGGTTGGGGATGAAGGTGAAGGGCAGGCAGAATAGCGCCACCATCAGGTCACTCAGCGCCAGTGAGAGCAGAAAGGAGTTGGTGATGGTCCGGAGGCGCTTGTTGCCTGCCAGCACCGCGATGACCAGGGCGTTCCCACACAGGCCCAGCAGGAAGATGGCCGAGTAGAGCAGCACCCGCACCGCCAGGTTCAGCTCTGGGGGGCAGAGCAGGGTCAGTGGGAAGCCCCCCTCCCGCCCTGGCAGAGCCCGGGCCAGGACCTCGCCCGCCCCCACCCGGCAGGGAGCCTTCCTTGCCCTCGCGCCCACCTGCTGCCCCCAGGCCCTGGCCCGGGCATGCTAGGAGGCAGCTGGGAGCCTGGAGGGCAGGAGGGAGGCAGGCATCGCCCAGCTGAAACCCCGCAGTCCGGCCAAGGCTCCCCTGCCTGTTCGCTCCGAGACCGGAGAGAGGCCGGGCTCGGGCTGGCAGCAGCCGGGCTTCCTCTGCGCCGGGCATCCCCCTTCGGGTTCGGGGCCCGTCAGAGCCCCCAAAGGTCTCGGCTCAGCCGCAGCGCCAGGCAGGAGCCCAGCGAGTCCGGAGCTGCCCCTCTCGCCCCTTCCCCGGCGCCAGAGGGCCCAGCCGCCCCGGCCGACGGGCCCGGGATTCCCGGGGAAGCGGGGGGGGCGGCGCTCTTCCTATGCGCAGAGGCCCTTCGGGGCCTGGGGAGAGCAGAACGGGGGGGGCCTTGCGGGAGCCTCGGGGCCTCTCGGGGACGGGCGGCGGGACGCCCAGAGCTCCCTGCAGGAGCCAGGCTCGCCGGCGGGGACCGCGCAGGGCATCGGGCTGCAGGGAGCCTCACCTCCGGGCCCGCGGGACGCTTCGCCGCCGGTGCCGTTCCCGGAGCGGTGGGACGAGCCGTTCGCGGTCCGGCAGAGCAGCGACGCGTTGAGCAGCCGCGGCTCGTCCATCGCGGCGGGCTGCGTCTGGCCGTCCGTGCCCGACGCTCAGCTCCCTCCTCGCCGGGCGTCCATCGCGACGGGATCGCCCCCGCACAGACCCGGCCGAGAGCCGCCGCCGTCACTGCCGCCGCCGCTCGGCTTCCTGGGCGGTGGGGAAAGCTGGAGGCGGCAGGCGGCAGCTTGGCGGGATCTCGGGGCGAGCCGGCCCATCCCGTCCCCGCTTCCTTACTTCTTTTGGGGCGGGGGGCTAAGAGCAGCCCGCAGCTGCCGGGGCCTCCCGTCTGGCAGGCGGGTTTCCCAGCAGCGGCCGCCCTGGCAGGCACGTCCTGTTTGCTCGGGACAGCGGGCGCGCGCCGCCGGTGTTGACACAGGTGCTGTTTACCCGGCCAAGGCGGGAGCTGCACGTTACCTGCAAATGAATTCCGGCTGACCTGCGACCCATCCTGAACAGGAGCTCTGCGCCTGCCGCCCCCCCACCTTCTCTTAGGCATCGTAACCTTGTAAGCCTCTTGGGAGGCACCCGGTGACCCCCAGAGCCCCTTGGCAGGAGGGCTTGGCGCACGGGCGTTGCCCCTCTGGGAACTCTTAGTGAAGTTGCTTCCCCAGTGTGGTTGACTGTTTGGTGGATCCCTTCCTTGGGTGGGGCTGCCCCTGTGTGGGATCCTCCAGACCAAGAAGGCCACCCAGCCTGCTGGAGGGATGCACCTTCCCAGGCTATTGAAGGACCGGGTAGCTGCTCTCCAGCGCCCACATTAGGCCGGGTGCATGTAGCCCTGGCATGTGGGATGGCTGACTTTCTCCTTAGCCTCTCCCCACCTGGGGTCTCCGGCTGCAGCGCTCACTGAGGGGGCCGAGCAGCCTCGAAAGGGGCAGTGAAGGGAGGAGAGGGACTCCTTAGAGCAGCCCTTGCCCCCTTTCACCCCCTCCCCACAGTGGCCCCCCCAGGGGGGCAGCAGAAGTGGTGCACTCGGTCCATGGCTTAGCTAGAAGACGGCCTGCCGCCCTGGCTGCTTGCTCCTTTCCGGGGGTGGTGGGGTGGGGGGTCTAAAAGGCCAGAGCTCCCCACCTCCTCAATTTGTTCATGATGGGTTCTAGCTTTCTCTCCTTCCTTTAGTCCTCTTTAAATTTACCTTTAGTTCCGATTTTTTCACTACCGCACCCTCCGACTTCTCTGACTGGGGCTTGCAGATCCTTTCCATTTCCCCCCACCAGCGTAATGGGACTCGCTTAGCTTCTTCCTCCAGTCGGCCCACCCAACTCCTCTGATCCGGCTTCCCTTAATGCATTCAGTGTATTGCTTGAATAAATGACTCCCCCCCTCTCTCTCTCTCTCTCGCCCTGTCCCACCTGGAGGGAAGCGGGAAAATAGCCTCAGAGCGGCTTTAGCCACCGGGAAGGTAAGCAAACTGAATGGGGGGGGGCAGGAGGGGGGGCAGAAATAAATCAGCAGGTGGTGAAGGTCTCAGAAGGGCCGACTCTCAAAGGAGGGGGGAGGGGGAGGGGGAGGGGGAGACAGTGACAGGTGTTAATTTTTTATTTATTCATTCGGTTTCTATAGCTGCCCAGTGCAGCAAAGTGACAATTCTAAAATCACAAAACAGAAAACATTCAAACAACAAATGCATCCAAACCATGAATGAGGGGAAAGAGCAGCCGTGACCGGGGGCCCTTCACACACGCCGAGGGCCCCGCCTGGGTGCACAGCCTGGCTTCTGAGGCCCCGTGAGAAGCCAATGGGGAGGGTGGGGGCCGCTCCAACCTCCCCAGGGGAGAACATTCCACAGAGCAGTGGCAGAAATCCCCCCCCCCGCCTTCTACTTCATTCATTTATTCAGTGGATTTGTCCCCCCCCCTCCCCCCGTCTTCTTTTGAAGCCCCCCTGAGCAGCTGAGCTCCCGTGTTCTTGCCAAGCGGCTCTCTCTGGCTGACGGGATCTGCCGCAGGCCAGATCAGCTGGATCACGTTGGAGAAACTCCTGGGAAACCTGATCGCCCCCCCCCCCCGAAACAGGGCTTGAAGAGCTGGCCAAAGCTGAGGGGGGAGTGGGCGCAGGCCCTTCGGATGCCCCTTCCCGAGTCCCGGGACCCGGAGAGTCCCTGGAACTCAGGCCCTGCAAGGGGTGGACGGGGGGGCCCAGCCCTCAAATCCCCAGCAGAGGCTCTCAACCCCACAGAACAACCCCATCGTCTTGGGGATCAGGCGGACTCGGCTCGCAGGCCCTTCCTGGCCGCTTTCCGGAGCAGCTCCCCCCTCCCCCCCAGCGACCATGTTTCCTTGGGAAAAACGAAGGAGGAGCCTAAGGGGGGGGGGGGGAATCTGGTCCATAAGGATGAGGAACTGCGTCCGTTTTCAACGTGGTTTTACGGAAGGCGGCCCAAGAGCACAGGGGCCGTTTTCTGAGTGGGAGGAGGGTCCGTTTAAGGAAGGGCGCCCAGCCCTCCCACCCCAGGCTCTCCCAGGGTGCCTCTTCCGCAGGCCCGGGCTGTGGGGCCGGGGCCCTTCAGGCTGGAGGGGAGGGGGAGGCCTGCTGGTTCCCTGTTTTCGCCTTGCCCCATCTTCCCTTCCTGCTCACTGAGGGGGGCCAGTCTGGCGTTAGGCAACCCAGAAGTCGGACAGACGAGCCAACGGGTCTCGAGACAAAGAGGCCCCTGAGGAATTTGGGCGGAAGGGCATAAAACCGAGGAAGGAAATGGGCAGCCGAGAGAAGCCGAAGGGCCTTTGCACGTAATGCTCCCTGCATGCGATGGGCCTTGGGGGTGGGTGGGGGGGGCAAGCCTTCCTGTCCCGGGGGAGGCAGGCTGGTGGCTCCCCCAACAGATTCCTGCTCCGCTTCAGGCAGGCCCTCCAGCCGAAGGGGTACCGTGCTGTCCAACCAGGGTATGGGAACTGGATAGTCAGCCATTGTGAGCTGTTCCCTTAAGGGAATGCATCCTGGTAAATATAGTTAAGGTATCCTGGGAAATGTAGTCTAGATCACGTGACCACATCTGTAATCCTGACTGGTCACTAAATTGACCCTCGATGGGTTGGAGGAGGTTTCTTCACTCTTGGCTGAGCTCACGGACTCATGCACAAAATCTGGGGAACAAGCAGGGTGAACTCGAACTACGAAGACATGAAGGTAAACATGATATAGTTGGAATAACAGAAACTTGTGGGATGAAACCCATGACTAGAACATACTGGTAGAAGGATACAAACTATTAAAAAAAAAAAAAACAGACCCCATAAAAGAGGAGGTGGAGTTGCACTGTATATAAAGGACCACTATATTGCTACAGAAATGCATGAAACCAAAGATGAAAACCTCCTAGAATGCATATGGGTCAATATAAAAGAAAAAAAAATGACATGGCCATAGGTGTATATTATAGGCCACCCGATCAAGCAGAAAAAATAGATGTCCTTTTTGCCAGCCAACTAACAAACATATGCAGGAAACACACAACAATAGTAATGGGAGACTTCAATTATCCTGATATCAACTGGAAAACTAATTCTGCACCAGGTAAGAAATCAAATAAGTTCCTAACCAACCTAACTGACAACTTTGTTGCCCAAAAGGTAGAGGGTGAAACTAGAGGGACAGCCATCCTGGACTTCATTCTTACAAACGGAGAAGAAGTGATAGAGGGGGTTGAAACTGCAGGAACCTTGGGTGAGAGTGACCATGTCATACTAGAATTCAGCATAACACAAACCCAAGCACTTATGACCGTTGCAGCCTTCCCTGGTCATGTGACCCACACTTGGATGCTTGGCAACTGACTCACATTCACGGCGGTCGCAGCGCCCCCCTTTTGCGACCTGCTGACAAGCCAGGCCAACAGGGAAGCCAGAGAGCGACGAACTGAACCCGGGCAGAGGTTCCCTGAGGGGGCCTGGTGGGGAAAGCCGTGAAGGGGACCGAAGAGAACTGAAGCTCTGGGCTCCCCTGGGACCCTCCCCTCCCCCGAGGATTCCTTCTGGATCGCACAGCGCCACGACACCCCCCATCACAAACTGGACAGGGCACCCAGTATTGACCCGTGAGGGAGGATCCCAGTCCCCCCACCCCCGGCAGCTTTCAGGGGAGCTGGCCAAGGCTGGGTGGGGGCCAGGGGCAGCCCAGGGCCTTGGGGCTTTTGAAGAGGAAAAGGGGGAGACGGGCGCTTTAGGAGGGGGGCCTGGGAGGAGCAGGAGGGAGTCCCAGCTGTTCTGCAGGAGTGACTGGGAGGAGGTGGGGGAGGAGCCTCTCCTGGGCCTTGCTTCCCACGCCCTCTGGGTGTGTGTGTGTGTGTGTGTGTCGTGGGACAACGTGGGAGAAGGGAAAGGGGATGCAGGCACAGGCACTTCTCCCCACAGCGGTGCAGCCTGAGGGTCTGCGGGGCCCCTTCCTGGCTCTGGGTGCTGCTGGTGTCAATCGCTGATGATGCAGGAGATGCCCGGGGGGGGGCGCGGGGGGGCCTCCTCCGGCTGCCAGGTGCTGTTCTGGTGCTGGGGTGGGGGGTAGTGGGGGCAGAGAAGAGGCGGCCGCAGTTTCTCCTCCGAGGCACCAGGGGGCGCTTGTCTTCCCTCTGGAAGCCCAACTGGTTCACACCTCCACACACACCCCCACACACACCCCCCCGGCTGTACTGTCCCCCAGGACTGGCGGTCTCTGCCGGCGAGCTGTCTCCGGCCGATGCCGGGCTCCTTCGCGCGAGCGATTCTTCCTGGGCCGCCCGGATGAACTGAACAGGCCAGGATTCCACACCGCAGATTAAACCGGCAGAGGCCATTAAGCGAGTGGAGCGGCCACTATGCCTTTCGCCGACCTGCCTGCACGTGCCGTGTGAAGGGGGCTCGTGAGCCCACCTGGGCCTCTCCTGCTCCCTGCTGGGTCCTGGCCATCCGACGGGATCACCAACTGGCCCAGAGGAGCCCAAAACTCCCCACCCCCAATGCACCTAGCGAGCCTCCTGATCCAGGCTGAAGGTCCGCCAGCCCAAAGGGAGGCCACTCTCAGCCTCTGGGTGGAGTCTGTGTGTGTGCGTGCGTGTTTGTGTGTGTGCGCGTGTGTGTGCTGGGGGGCTTTATTAAGCACCCTCCGCTGTGCCCCCCCAACAGCCCCCAGGAGGTCCTGACCCAAAGCCTTTCGGGATGTGGGCAAGGCTCCCATTGGGCAGTTGCCCCTCCCTTCTCTGCCCCCATGCCTGCCTCCCCCCACCCAGCTTTGGATGCCAGGGCTCTTCCGGCAAGCCTCCCGCCCCACCTGCTGCCCCAGCCAGGTTCTCTTCAGCCTCCCCGCTGCCTCCAGAGCCGCTGTGGAGGATCAGGTGTCTCCTTCTGACCTGGGTGTGCGGCATTCCCACTCAGCACTGGGGCGGCTGGGCGTTTCAAGGCCTGGCCTATCAGGCCCCCCCCCTGCCCCGCCCCTTCTTTGCCAGAGGATAGTTCTGCGTGCCGCCTGCGTGCGTGTGGTGGGTTGTGCTTGGACCCGGAGCGATGTGTGTGCCAGAAGGCAGGGAGAGAGAAGGGTGCCCAGTCGGGGCCCTCACCTGCTGTGGTTCATGCTGGGAGCTCCAGTGTCCTCGGGCTGGAGGCTTCAGAGGGATGAACCACAAGGACACTCACTCTGCACATGCACAGAAGCACCGGCCCTCTCCTCTTGAAGATGCCTCTGCCAGCTCTGCCACCTTCAGCTTGGCACCTTGCTGGCATCCTGGGTGGGTGGGAAGTCAATACACACATGTATGGGCATGTGATGAGAAATGGGGGGGGGGGGGGGGGGGAGAGGGGGGGGAAAAAAGGGGGGAGAGGGGGGGGGGGGGGGGGGGGCGGGGTGACAGTTGGACGAAAAACAGGCTCAGAACTGGCCTGTGCCGGCACCCAAGGCCACTCACCCTGAGAAGGAGGGTGGATTACCCCAAACACCTCAGCGTGTCTCAGAACACCCGGGGGGCTCTTCATTGGCTGCGAGGAGGGGTAATGTGTGTCCCCTTTCGCAGGGGAAATGCAGCTCTAGCAGCCGAAGAGCCCCTCCCTTCGCCCCAAGGGAGCCGAGGGTCTCTGGGCCTCTCTGAGAGCCTCTTTGGGACCTGGGAGAGACACGCAGAAGCCCCTTGCTGGCCCCCCCACCTGGCCTGAGGCGCCCAGCCCTCCCAGTGGCTGGCTGCGTCTGGAGACATTTCCCCCCTGGGGACAGCCGGGAAAAGGGAGACCCGCCTGCTTCCCCCCCGTGGTGGCAAAGCAGCATTGGACTAGCAGGGGCTGGGCAGCGATGGGGCGCCACCTCCTTCCCTGCCACCTCCTGTGCCCTTCGGCCGGCTTCTTTTCTTGGTTCGCCCTTCAGGCAGCCAGGAAGATGCGGCCTCCCCCCCTGCCGGGGCAGGTGGGTCCATACCAAGAACGCCACGGGGCCCCCTCCCCTCCTGCCTCTGAGCCCCCGAGGGCCCCCTGCTGGTCAATAGGGCTGGCCCCCTCCTCACCCGCGGAGGGAAAGGCCCAGCTCTCTCTGCATCGAGCCAGCGCCGGTTCCAACTCTTTCTGGTGCAAAGCGAGGAGGTCTCCGTGGACAACGAGGGAGAGTCCGGGGGTCCTCGGGAGGGAGGGGGCTCCAGGGCCAGTAGCTCTCGCGAAGGCAGGATATGGAAACTGCCCGTCTTACGTGCCACCTTCAGAGAAGCGGGAGGGGAGGCGCTTCACCTGGCACCTTGCAGCAAATTCTTTGGCCCCGGGAGGGGATCTGTTCTCTGGCCATCCCGGTGGATTGACAGATTCAGGTTGGCATAATGCCCGTCTCTCTGCTGCCTCCCGCCTCGCCCTCACAACGAAGCATCTCCGAGGCAGAGGAGGGCGAGGCCCCCCGGGTCGCTTGCCCTCTTATTCCTTTGGCGAGAGGCCCCGTTGCCCCCACTGGGCGATGCCCACCTGGCCTGTTCACGGTGGGTGCCAGCTTTGTGAGCGCTTGTGTTGTCCCTCAGCCAATGGCCAGGAGCCAGTTTTCTGGCCGGTGGACCGGGGCTGCCGAGGGGGCAGGAACCGAGGCTGAGTGGGCCCCCCATGCGAGCGCTGCGAGGCGGGGCAGCACACAGCCCACCGGAGGGGCCCAGCAAAGGAAGGGCCTCTGGCTGAAAAACCAAAGGGGTGTGTGTGTGTGTGTGTGTGTGTGTGTTGTGGGTTCTTCCCTGACTGCCACTGCTTAAGGCTGACTGGCTGGCATGGGGAGCTCTTCTCGAAGGGGGTGGGGGGGGGTGGGAGCAGGCCTTGTGTGTCCCTGTTTCATTGTATGGGGAAATAGGCCTCTGGTCTCCCCACTGTCCGGCTGCCCCTCAGCACGAGCTATGCCCAGCCCCCCCCCCACCTGCAGGGCTCCTCGGAGTGGCCAGGGCCCGTCTCCCCGTGGCCCCGCAGGGGGGCAACCTGAAACTCCCCGCTCCTCAAGGCAGAGATCCAGAGAAAGCCGAGGGCTACTTTGGCTGCAGGGACCGAATTTGGGAAATGACAAGGGGCCCCCCCCCCCCCCCCCCCCGGCTGCCCTTCCTCTTTCAAGGCCAGTGAGTTACGGGGGTGGGGGTGGGGGTGGGGGTGGGGTGCCCACCAGAGCCACGTCTGAATGTTGTCTGCATGTTCCGGACATTAAGAAATGTTTTCCCCTGGTTGCCTTGGCAACGGTGCTGGCCTGTCGTCCTGCAGGTCACGGTCTGGCTCTCCAAACCAGCCGAGGATGGATGCGGGGAGAGGCCGAGGGGCTTCGTCTCGTCTGCGGGAGCCCCTCGACTTCCAGAAGCCGCCAGGAAGGAGGAGCCTTGGCCTGGCCATTCAGTGCTGCCCCTGGCCAAACCCAGGATCAGAGGCCGCCTGGCTCCAGAGGACGAGGGCGCCCGAAGTGCCCTCAGGGAAAGCCAGGGACGGGAGCGCAGCAGAGAAACAAGCCAGGGGCCCCCGGATGGAAAACCGTCCCTATCCAGCAAGGGGCAGGGGGGGGGGGGGGGCTCCTGCCTCTCGTCTCCCTCAGGTCATTGGAGGCACCTGACATTCCGGGAGCTCACAAACAAGCGCAGGCGGGGGGGGGGTGTTGCTACCCCTCAGAGGCAACGAATCGGAAGCTGCCCTTCCCAGGGGTCTCCTCCCGGCCGGAGCCTGCCACGCGGTTGGCCTTTGCAGCCGCCCAGAGTGGAAGCCGGGGAGCAACCCAGGAGAGCCCACCCAAGGGGGTGGCTTTCCTCCCTGCGGCTGGACTGAGGCAGGGGCTGGTTTGGATAGCCCAAAGTGGCTCAATTTATGGGGTCCCAGTTAAAATACCGGGACTGAAGAGGGGCTCCGCCTCTCCTCCAGGGACGGACACGAAGCAACGGAGGGAAACCGACCGAGGAGAGAAGCAACCTGGAGCTCAGGAGGGATTTCCTCACGGTGAGAACCAGGGGGACGGAAGGTGCCTCCAGAAGTCGTGGCTGCTGCATCCCTGGAAGCTTTTAAGAAGAAATTGGCCAGCCAGTTTTCTGGAACGGTCCAGGGTCTCCTTCTCAAGCAGGGGGTTGGACTAGAAGACCTCTAAGGTCCCTTCCAACTCTATGATTCTGTGTTCTATGGCTTGGAGACCATTTAATTCACAATTTATTTGGAACCGCCCGAGAGAAAAGGAATTCCCGTTTACAAGAGAGAGAACCTGGAACGTAGATTGCATTTCCTTTTTATAGTTTGGGCAACAAAGAAACTTCAAGGTAAAAGCTGATTGGATTAGGAATATTATGAAAAATTAGACTCCTAATAATACGAAAGCATGAGAACGGAAAGGAACATCGTATTCTGAATAAAAACAAAAGAACCATTTGCAAAGGCGGAAGCGCCAGGAGAGGCCATTGGTAAAGGTGCGTTGAAGCTGTGGGACAACAGAACGGCAGGAGGCCCAACCGCGTCGGCCAAAGGAAAGGCCTCCTACCGCCTCCTTCGTGGACGTTCAGGCTTATGGCAGCCGCTAGCAAAGCACACGGAAGGGGAAGAGGAACCAGGCCAAGGGAAGCACCCCGTCACCCAGGCCCGCTCCTCCCACCCTCACCTGCCAGGTGCAGGCATGCAGGGGGCTCTCTGGACCTCCGGCCTCCCCCTCGCTCTGGGGGCAGGGAAAGGGACCGGGGCCCAGAAAGGTTGGACGTGTGTGTGTGTGTGTGTGTGTGTGTGTGTGTGTGTGTGTGTGTATTTTGGAGGGCTGTCCTAGATCGAATGGGAGGAATTCTTGGCAGCTGGTCCAGAAGGCAGGCAGGCGATGGCAGCCAGGGCGGTGGAGGAGGCTGGGGCTGGTGGAGTCTCCTTTGAAGAGAGGCCGCCTATCGGGAACGTCACCATCTAGCTGACCTCCAAGGCCCCTTGGGAGCCTTATGGTTCCACGAAGGCCCTGAGGCTGCAGGCACGGCCTCTTCATCGGCTGCCCAAGACCCCATACGGGAGCCTGGGGGCGACTCTGTGCCCTCTCTCTGCCGCCCCCCCCTCAGGAAAGCATGGAGGGAGGGAGGAGGGATGTGGTTGTTGGGTTGGGACCCCCCCCCCACCCCCCAGCATCACGGCCTGCACCCAGGGAACGTTGCTCTGGGTTGCTTTCCGGCCAGCCTCCCTTCCTGCCCCCTGCATCCGAAGTGGGAGGCCCAGATCCAGGACAGCTCATCCCCCGGCAGAAGCTGCAGCCCCGAGGCCAGCCGGTGGAGGGGCACAGGGGGACAGCTAAGTCTCGGCCCCCTCCTCCCCCCCCTCCCCCCACATCTGCACCTGCCACTCCAGGTGCTCGAGGCGCAGGGCTATCTTGAAGGCGCTGGACTCCAGCCCGGCCAGGACGCGGGCCAGCTTCGTCTGCAGGGCGTCCAGCCCGTCCTCCAGGGCTGCCATCCGCCGCTCCTCCTCCTCCTGCTGGGCGACCTCGGCCGCCTCGGCGTTGACGTCCAGCTTGTTCATCTTGAGCAGGATCTCCCGGCCCTTGGCCTCCATCAACGCCTTGGCGCTGGGGAACTCGGCCAGCACCTCCTTGAGGTCCTCCTTGGAGAGGCAGAAGAGGTCTGAGTAGCCGATGCTTTTGATATTTGCCGTACGGCGGTTGCCAGACTGGTTCCCTGGGGGGGGCAGGAAGAGTGGGGAGAGGCTTCTGCGTACGCTAAGACCGCGGCTGATTGTCCTGCACAGCCCTGAGCAACCTGGTCTGTGCAGCACAATGAAGTGAGCCGTGTGCAGACATGCAGGTTGGGCAAACAAAACCGCCACTTCCCAAACGCCTGGCGCAACGTAGGAGAACAAACCCGGATCAGGACAAGAGTCAGCCGCCTCCACCTGCATTGAAAAGACCAAGGCCGCTCTGGGGAAGACGGCAAAGTCCATCTTTTGCGCAGAGAGGACCATGGGCTTGACCGGAGGGTCAGAGTGGCCACCTGGGTCCAAATTGAACAGCCCCCTCTCGACAGAGGGCGAGGGATACAACGTCCTCTATCTCGACACAGACAAACCTCCAGGTGGCCTCAATGACCCCCTCAAAGGATGCAAACAACCAGCGGTTGATCCTCTCCTTCCCATCCAGTCCGAGCTGAAGAAGCTTCTTGGAGGAGAAGCAAAACGTCTTCAAAGAAAAAACCAGAAAGTCCATTTTGGGGGGGAAAAACACCGTTGGGACAACCAGGACCCGGATGACTGAGAACCTCCACCGACATGGGAAGAGCAGACTGGGAGAGAGGCAGTGAGGATTGAACCTTGCAGGCCGCTCTGTGCTTTACCTCCCCTTCCCTCTTGTACCCGTGAAGGACCCCAGGAACGTAGGAGGGTTTCCAGGCAGGAGGGGTGCATTTCGGGGGGGGGGGGGCGAGGCAAGAGACAGCACAGCCTGGAGCTGGATGTGTGAAGAGGAAGAGGTTTAGGGGAGCCGAGGATCCCCCAAGGTAAGAAACCGTTGAGAGTGAGAGTAGCCAGGGTGGAGTCTGGCAAGATTCTGTCTACACGGTGCATGAAAATCGCGAACTGAACTCGGCTGGAGGGTTTTGCATCCTTCTTGGGCTACACCTGACAATAGCCAGCCGATCAGGGAGGGGACTTTCCGAGCCACCCCCAAATCTTCCCCACGACTCAAGGGAAGCTCCAGCCCCCCTTTGCTTATGGGGTGGCTCTTACAAACTTCCCTCCAGGCTATCTCCCTGATTCTCAACCGTCATGTCCTCCGAAGATCCCTCCCCATCCAGCCAGTGAAAAGCAGCACCTGGGACCCCTGAACTGATGGAGAACCCCAACAACAAAGGAAGGAACCCTCGAAGGAGTTCTCCGCTGGGGGGGTTCTCCTGGGGGTCCCTCCCCTCCCCCTCCCCTCACCTTTGATGCTGATGATGCTGATCTCTCCAAAGTACAGCCCCTCCCCCAGCACCGCATACTGGGTCACACCGTCATCCGCCACCACGGCCAGCTGCCCTTCGCGGATGAAGTACATCTCCCGGCCGATGTCCCCCTTCCGGCACACGTACTCCCCGGGGCTGTAGACCTGCGGCTTCAGCTTGAGCACCAGCTCCTCCAGCAGGCTCTGCTCGCAGTTCTGGAAGATCTGGACCTTGCGGAGGGTGGGCAGGTGGACACTGATGGCCACCTCGGCTCGCAGGCGCTCGGGCAGGTGCTGGAGGATCTGCACCTCGTTGGTCATCTTCTTGTTCATCTGCAGGTGCTGCTGCAAGTCAACCACACGGTGCTGCAGGTGCTGGCTGATCCGCTGAGAGTGCAGGTAGTCCTTCACCAGGTCGTAGTTGGGGTAGAAGGCCTTGTCGGCGTGGTTCATGTTGGAGATGACAGATGTCATGCTCCCCATGATGGTGGCAAAGCCCATGACGGCCAGGAGGAAGTCGATGGCCATGAAGAGGAACTCCTCCTCCCGCTGGGGCATGGGGGTGTCGCCCACTGTGGTCAGGATGAGGGTGGAGAAGTAGAAGCTGTAGAGGTACTGGCGAAGGAGCCGGTCGAAGCCGGGCAGGCTGCTGTTGGGGTAGACCCACTCATCCGTGCCAAAGCCGATGAAGTTGGAGAGCGCAAAGTAGACGCAGCTGTTCCAGTGGATGGTGACAAAGATGTAGAGCATCAGCTTGGAGATGCGGAAGGAGTTGGGGTGCGCCGTGCGGGTCTCGATGCGGTCAAAGGCCTCAAACAAGCGGGGGCTCCGCAGGAAGCGGTTGGCTCGGACCGCCGGGCTGCCCAGCCCCACATACAGGTAGAGGAGGTCAGTGGGCAGCACGGAGAGGGAGTCCCACAGGAAGGCCAAGGAGCAGCAGTACCTCCGGGAAATCTGGGCGCGGTCCACAATCAGGGAGCCTTGCTGCAGGAAGCCTGGCAGAGAAGGGGGGCGGGTGGGAGAGGCGCTTGGCAAAGGGCCGGAGGAGCCACCCTGCTGCCCCCTCTCAGGTCCCCACTGAAGCGGCTCCCCTTCCCAGTCATGGCTGCGGTGGGGTCCGCTACCCCTGAGCGGCTCCCCCAGAAGGAAGTCCCTCCCCCCCAGCAACCGGTCCTGCAAGCAGCCTCCGGCACACCTGCCAGGAGAAGCCAAGGCATTGCCCAGGGAAGCGCCCCAGCTGGGCCCCTCTGGGCCTCCGTGGGCAACCAACCTTCTGAGGAAGGGAGTCACTGCCTGCCTTGATCCAGGGGGACTGGAGGACTCTGACCTCTTCTTTGGGGTGGGGGAGGGGAGAAGGCGGTGGGGGGGGTGTCAGCCTCA